ATATTGGAAGACAATTTTTATGTGTGTTTATTGCAGTATCTCAAAATAGAAACATATGAAAAACTAATTTATTTTTTCACAGGTCTAATCTACTAGTTTTAATCTCATTTCGTTTGCATGGGAGATGATTTTTCATACAAGGTATATATTGTTTGCATGGGAGATGATGAATTACAAGAACATATAAAAAGCTCACAACTTTTCTGCAAATAAGATTTGACCGAGCATTGAAAATGCTAAAAATCTTGTTGAGTAAAAACTAAAAAGCCGAGTGAACTATATAAATAATACATAATTAATTTTAGGAACATAAAATATTAAATGTTATTCGATCAAATAAAATTGACTTGCTCCCATCGCGGGGTGATATATGAAATTGAGCATTTTCCTTTTCGTCAAAGCATGGGTAATTTGACCTTTTTTAATTATCAGGCTACAACATAATGGAGTCTCTAGATATGAATTTTTTATAATGGGAGGAGACAAAAATATAGTATTTGGAAGCCTTTGTTTGGGTAGACTAACGGGATGAACAGAGGTCGGTTGAGCCGCCCTTTCTTTTGACCGATCATGAAGCAGATAAAGAGGGTCGATTGTGTCGCCCTTCTCTCGAACATGGTAATTAATATAGATCAAAGGAACGATTGAAAATGTTTAGCGTTACGAAAAAAAAAACATTGACACGAGATTGGTTTTTATAGGGGTAGGTTCAGAAGAAATAACCCTTGATGGTCGCGCTTCTTTTAGATCCATTTTGTTGACGGTCGACCGCTAACGATTACAGATCGTATTTAACCGGCGGTTAATTTAGAGATTACCGAGTAATTAATTGAATTGGGATGAATTAACTGTAAAGTAAAGAAGAATTGAAATAAAGAAAATGAAGACGTCGATTTTGTCGATCTAAAGATGAGATCGACAAGGAGAATATGGTTTTCTGAGAAATGTTTATTGATATTGTTTTTTTTAGGGGCATAGGTGACCATATATATACAACAAGACAGGTAAACATATAATAAATGCACCGCGCAGGGCAGTAGGGTGGCGACACGTGTATCCATGCAAAACTAGGCCCTTGAAGATGAGATAACTTGGGCGGTCGCATATCAACTTTAACTAGTATAATACCCGTGTACTACACGGGTAGTTGATAGAATAATTAAATATATAACAAAAAAATATTTATATATTTTGATGAAGTTGAAAAATATAAATAATATTTTTATATAAAACACATAATGGAATAATATAGGCAAAACAAAAAAAAATAGAAAGTATGATTATATGCACATTATAGAAAGAAGATAATAGATAGATTTATATAGAATAATTTAAATATATTAAATATGTGTATATATATGACTATCGGAACCTAAATTATTTGGTATAAAACATAATCATATTACAAAACATCATATTTTGCCGCATAAGATTACGAAGCTGCAAAGCTACTTAAGCTATTTGATATAAAACATAGTCATATTATAAAACATCATATTTTGCCACATACGATTACCAAGCTGCAAAACTACTTAAGCTATTTGATTTAAAACATAGTCATATTGCAAAACATCATATTTTGCCCATAAAATTAGAGCACTGCAAAGCTACCACTTAGGTTCACAAATTACACGTAACAAGATAAAGATGGATATAATCTAGAGACCGGTCCAGACTAGAAGTTTGTTTTCATTGCTATAAATACCCGACGGAGTCGAATCTTATATGTTTTGCAAAATTGTGTTGGTATTTTCTCTTTTGCTTCGATATGCGTTACACACACGCAGGTTATTCACACACCAGTTTGCTCTGTGTTTGTTTAATTGTTCCTGTTTTGATCGAAAAGACTGTTAATATTGGGGAACGCAAGTGTTTGGAACCTTAATTCGAGTGGAATTCTCACATGAAAAATTGAAAATTGATGGATGTTAATTTTCTGCTTTGTTTTCCCCCTTTTCATATGATTGGATCCAATTAATTTTGGGATTTCTCGTGTAATTCTGTGTTGTTATTATTATTATTATTATTATTATTATTATTATTATTATTATTATTAAGATGTAATGTTATGTTTTTTGTTTGTCCTTTGTAGTTTGTACTTGTTCTTTTCAGCATTTTACCTTGTTCTTTTCACTTGTGAAGTTGTATATTATTGTGGTAACAGTTTTCTGTTGTGGTAGCATTTTAATTGAAAAATTATGAGCGCAAATTCGAGGTTGTTGTGTTGATCATTTTCATATATACCTTCCTACAACTGACACATCCAAAGCTAGTAGATTTAAAAAACTCAATCTTTTATAGAATTATTATATTGTTTCTTCAATCGAGCAAGATTGCCCATTTAGCATGAAGAAAGTGGAGGCAAGAGTAGTTATATTGATTTTTACTTAATTCATCTTTCTATAACTTTTTTAACTCGCAGAATGTCAAGTGATTTCCCTGGATATGGAAAGTAAAGTAGTGCTGGGCAGCATATTAGAATTAGGCCCTTACCCTTCCAATTCCAAAGATGCTATAGGAAGAATAAAAAGGTTACTTAGGTAAAAAACTTAAAATCTTTACATTTTCGTAAGTNNNTTTTTTTTTTTTTTTTTTGTGTGTGTGTGTTTTTGTGTGAGCGTTAAATATCATCAATAACACACCTTTTCATATGTTTATTCAGGCGCCTCCAACCAAATAGGACTGCAGAAGAGGTTAATTGTAAATTATGTCTATTTGTTTTTCTCTCTCGCAAGATATAGAGAGCTCGTGTAATCTCTTTCTTAATCTATAATTAGGAGGCTTTGATCGAGGAATTTGGTCCACATTGGTCGTTTGCTGGACCAACTATTCTTCCTCAACCCTGTGGAAAGCAATGTACAAGGTAAACCTTGGGGGCTTCTGTGAGTGTTTGTTGTTCGACTTTTCTGTGCACAACCAGTAAATAATTTGTGTTTGTTGTTCTTCGTAATCTCTCCATACTGTTTGTGTTTCATCTTCTTTGAAAATGATGAACTTTGATTTCGACATTTTTGGTTGGTCTAACATTTCCCGTGATTGATATTCTACCTTTGTGCTAATTGCGAACCAATCGTTTGACACTGTTTGCTGGTACATTGTTGATTGCCTTTATGGGATGTGAAGTTTTTTCTCTTGCCTCTTTATTTGTTTAATTCTGACCAATAACTTGTATTTCAGGCCACATCATCATTACAGTGAATTAGAAGCTTATATATGGAAGTATTTTAAAGATGCCTTGATACATGACAGAATGGTGGCCTCCGCCAAAACCCACCAAATTTACATGGAAAGATTGCGACAGATAAACAAGTGCACTCCCGAGGAGTATGTGAATTTGTGCACACTCCCTTTTCTTGTGTTGGGCCTATC